CCAACTCAGTCCTTAGCTCTTGTTTTCAATCAAGGCTTTCTTCACCCTGGCCTCCTCCTCTCCAGGCTTAGGTGTGGATCTGCTGTGTTCAGAGCATGGTGGCTGCAGTTGAAGATGACAGCAGTGAGCTACATAGTACATAGAAGCCCCCAAATATGACACCTGCAGAGATATAAATGCCACCTTAATTATTTTACCCACACTCAGAAACATTTGTTAGTGCTTTACACTGGGTTCTCCTTTAGAAGCTGACAGAATTAAAGAAAGGAGGCTGTGTAGATCATTGACTCAACACAGAGCAACTAGGAACATTGGGCAGTTGGTTGTCATCACGAAGGGAAGGGTGGCTGGCATCTAACAAGTAGAGACTAGAGGTGCTACTAACCCTGTAGAATGCACAGCATACACCTCCTCAGCAAGGAATTAGCCAGCCCAAAATGTTAATAGTGCCAGAGTTGAGAAACCGTGGTGTAGGTGAGAAGCCAGTCAGTTAATACTGCTTAACTCCGATGCATGTCCTTAGCAAATAGGGATTGAACGCTCGAAGATTCAGAGTCATCAAGCCTAGCAGTAGATCTGGTGCTAGGTGTGCTGACAAATAGGTGGGAAATTTTATGAATCAATGTAATACAAAATGAGATACACTTTTCTTTGTATCATTATGGGGAGTTCATTTTCAAGGTAATCAAAGCGTAGAGTTCCTGCTAATTTTCAACTTGGGACTTTTTTCTCTTGCAGTTCTGAATCAGCCAGGAGCCCCCAAGACACAACTTTTTATGAATGGCGCCTGTTCCCCATCTTTATTGCCAACACTGACACCCACGATGCCCTTCCCTCTCCCAGCTGTTCCTGATTACAGGTGTGTTGTTCTTCTAGGGAACACATTCTTTGTTCCCTGTGGACATTTTTGAAATGTTTTTCCTTGAAATAAATTAATGAAGAGGTAAAGATTAAATTTTTTTTTCCAATACTGGGTATCAAACTCAGGACCTTACACTTGCCAGGCAGGTGAGGTGCTGCTGAGCTAAATCCCCAGCTAAAGATGAATTTTAAAATGTCATTTTAAGATGAAATTTCACTATTTATTACACATTCCCATTTTTGTCCAAAATGGAAATCATTTTTAAAAATAAGAATTATACAGCTGGGGATTTAGCTCAGTGGCATGGTACCTGCCTCTCAAGCGCAAGGTCCTGAGTTCAATCCCCGGTACCGCAAAATTAAGGTACATAAAATTTACATATATACATGCATGTGTGATATATATGTAGGTATAAAGTACAAAGAAAATTGTAAGTTTCTGGGAATACCACCTAGATACTCGTTCTTATGCACACATATTATTCTGCACACACTACAGATATACACAAAATCACTTGATGCAAGCATCCATATATTCATAATATATATACACTCAAGAGTTTGGACGTCCTACCTTACCAGTAAATACAGATCTGTGTTTTAATCTTTGTATGTACGGACATACAGTGGACCCTCGAGTTATGACCAGCCTGACAAACAAACAACTTGGGTTACGGCTGGAAGTTTAGTTTTAACTTATAACCAAAGTCTTGAGTTACGACATGAATGCTAGCCACCTGTGCTTCCAGATGGTGTCAGATATAGATTTAAACTTTAAAGAGCTCTGGAAGGAACATTACAACATCCTTTCCGGTGTGGGGTTATGTGAGAAATCCTGGCCAGTGTCTCTCTAAGGACGCTGAGATCTGCCTGTGTACTGGAGAGAGACTTTGAAGGCCTGGGCCTTCAATTGGCCAACTTGAGTTACAGCCAGTCCTCGCGAATCAATAGAGTCCGAACGTCAAGGGTCCACTGTGCTGTTGTACTGATCCCTTAATGTTTAACACCTAGAATTTTCTGTCTCGGAGGCTTTGTTCTGTTTATAAACAGCTCACATTTGTTCCCGTTGCTCAGCTCCTCCACATACCTCTTTCGGCTGATGGCCGTTGTCGTCCACCATGGAGACATGCACTCTGGACACTTTGTCACATACCGACGGTCCCCACCTTCGACCAAGAACCCTCTCTCCACCAGCAACCAGTGGCTGTGGATTTCAGATGACACTGTTCGAAAAGCCAGCCTGCAGGAGGTCCTATCCTCCAGCGCGTACCTGCTGTTCTACGAGCGCGTTCTCTCCCGGGTACAGCACCAGGGCCAAGAGTACAAGTGTGAGGAGTGACTGTCCAGCCCTGGACCTGGATCTGATAGAGCTGTCCATGCTGTGCAGGACGAAAGCAGTCATGTTGTGTGTGTGCGTGCGTGTGTGTGAAAGCAGCCCACCAGGAGGTCCCTTGCCCTTCCAGTGTGTCCTAAGAGCAGGGTTCACAGAGGAGCCAGCCCCACACAGCTCCACCAGTACACACTGGAAGGTGTCATCATGTGAAGAAAGCATTCATTGTGTCTAGAGCGTCTTTATACTCACCCAGCACAGGTAATTAAAAGAAATCAGACTCCAGAAGCCACCTTTTCTATATTGCAACATGTTTGGTGTTCTCAGAGGGGAGTCACCTTTGTTGAATCCTCTGACCTTTCAGCATAGATCTTATTTTTAATAAGCAGTCCCATAAAAATTGTGGACAAGAATTAGCTAAACCATTAAAGGCAACAATTTAAGAAGAAAAAGTGCCTTTTGCTTTCAGTTGTTTTTGTAGCACATCCATTCTCCGAAAGAGACAGTCTAAGAGTAATATAAACATTTTCGAAAAACTCTATTCCTTCCAGGTTACTCAGAGGGTATCAAAAGAACAGTTAAAAGATGCCTAAAGAACACTTCCCTCCAATTTTTGTATGCCTTTTCTAATCTTTCCATTTTTTTAAATGTGGTAAAGTCTCATCTGCCAAATCTGACCCCCAAGGAAATTCTTTCACTACTTTGTCAGTAACTAAATGAAATGCTTCTGTGCCGCTTTTATCTTTTGTATACTGGATGGAGAGATGTGATTATAGTATAAAACTGTGACCAGCCAAATTTAAGCAAGTACCTCAGCATCTGTGCACACCTAGGACTTCTCTGCTCTGTAGGAAACTCCTCACACAAGGACGGTTTCTTCCTGTTTTATTTATTGCCTGTGCAGACTACTTAAGATCTGCAGGTAGGAGTTTGGGGCTTTGTAAAATGACCATCCCTGCCTTGATTTGAGAGTTGGATTAGGAAGGACTGGCCCTGACCCGGGACTGCAGTCTCTCTGGACATCCGTTTCCTCATTTGTAAAGTGGAGGGTGAGATTTGAGGCTAGCCCTTGCCACAGAAGGCTGCGTCTGATTTTTTCAAACTTACATAACTACACCTAACATCTGTGTTGTCATTGCTTTCTAGGTCCATATTCTAAATTTATTCTTTGCTTCCAGTAGCCTAATACAAGAACAGTATACTGAGCATTTTCTCCCCTTTACAGATGTCTCTTAGATGCAGCCCAGGGCTGAAGAAGGCATTTTGATGACACGGTTTCTGTGTTTTAGCTAAGTTTGTTATTTAAAAATTTCTATATGGTATCACAAATTCAAACTGACTCTTCAGCAATGAGACTTGGAATCAGACCTATCCCAAAGGTCACCTGAGGTTAGGCTGAGAACTCTGTTTCCTCTGCTGGGGGTAAGCTGGCAGAACCTTCCAGACGTGCCTTGGCAGCAGCTAAAAGCGCAAGAAGCCCTAGTGATCACTGTGTGGCCGGGCCCAATGTGCATCCTGAGGACTAACTCTCCCTGCCAACAGAATATACTGTGAAGGTTCTTCAGGAGGTGGACGTCGATATAAAAGGTGCAGCTTGAATCTCCTGATCTTTCACTGTTGGCCCTGTAGACCTTGGCTTTGAGGATGAAATGACCATGCTTGTTTGACCTGAGACTGGGGGAACAAAGGATTCTGTGACCTGAAACTGCATTGCAAAGGGTAGCTTTGAGTAATACTGTTGTTTCAGTGCTGACTCTGGAATTAGCCCTCAAAGAGCTATGAGTGGAAGGACAAGCCTTCAGGAGCTCAGGTGCCGAGCAGGTCTTTGGTCAGGCCAAGGTCTAAGCAAAGGTTGTAAATGTGAACAAAAACCTAATGAAAGATGACTTCCTCATTTTGTAAGTTATTAGGCATTAAGTAGCAGCCAAATAATCTGGTTTCTACTTTTAAATTATTTACAAAGTCAGTAGCTTCTTTTTGGAAAAACTTAAACTGGTAGTTTATGCCATAACAGCTGATTTATGTATTTGCTAAAGGTACTTTTGTATCTGCTATGTATTATAGCAATAAAAGAATCATTTTGTTAGGAAAAAAGGAACTGGTATTTCCCTTCTAATTTGCTAATTTGCTAGATATCTTTCTTCTGAATGGTGCATTGCTTTTATTAAATCACTTCTGTGTACTGTTGGTAGAGGAAATGCCAGCTTCTTCTCAGGCAGAGAGTGTGTGCTGCGGCACACACCTGAGATTCCAGCACTCTGGGAGGCTGAGGGAGGAGAATCGCAAGTTTAGGTCCCTGCCTTGTTATTTTTCTCATTGCTGGGACACAATACCTGACACAAGTTAAAGGAGGAAAGGTTTATTTCAGCTCACAGTTTGTAGAAGTTTCAGTCCATTGTAGGCTGGCTCCAATGCAGGGGGGCATCACAGAGAAACAGCTCATGGTGTGGCAGGCAGCAAGCAGCAGAAGCAGGAAGCAAGCCTCCTTTTCCCTTTTGTCCACCCAGGCTACAAGCCTTTTGGGTGGTGCCACCCGCACCCAAAGTGGGTTTGTCCATTAGCCAATCATTAGACCTATTTAGTACCATACACTCCAGATTCAACCAGCTCCAAAAAGCCCTACCTATGAGTGCATGAGGCTTTGGGGCACATCTGGATACAAGCCTTAACAGTCCCACTTGGGCTATATAGCAAGACCCTGTCTCGAAAAAGGGCTGGGGATAGAGTTCTGTGGTAGAATTTCCCTGTGTTCATTCCTCAGGATTGAGGAAAAAAGAAAAGAAAAAATAGAAAATAAAAGTACAAATTGTTAACATTTTTAAAAAATTTTATTTCTTAGTAGGCAAAATTTTACGAAATGTCAGATTGACCCTCGGAGCCAGGACCTTCTTGCGGACAGGAAGACTGTGATACCATTGAGTGTTGGTGGGGGGGTTCATCATCAGCAAGCTTCCGTGGGCCAGCTGCAGCCTGACGACCTCCACCCTCTGGCAGGGGTTCTTTCCCCGGGAATCCTTATGCCGGAAAAGGAAGTCCCTACAGGCCCCAAAGGAGACAGAGGCAATGGGGCTTCCTGGGGCCAGTTCTCGTTCATCGTCTCGGTGCTCCCCAATATGGTCACAGCCATCTTTATACCTGCAGAGAGAACAAGCACAGTTTAGAACAACCCCCTCCTGTGACTCACCAACACTGCAGACTCCTCATTTTCTTACAGTGTGAAATGGTGCTCTGTGTGCTGGCCTCCCTGCCTTGTTTCTGCAGGACCTTGAGGTCCTCACCTTAGTCTCCAGATAAGGCCAGGCTGAAGCATCCTTACTTGGTAATCTAGTCCTATTTGTCCTCCAGCTCAAAAACTTAACACACTTAAAGCAGCCACAATTTCATCTCCTGGTACGTATACATAAAGCTCTAGCACATAAAATAACTCCTTCCTACACTAAAACCCCCTTTCCTCGTCCAGTTTGGCCCCTCCCTGCCCACCTCTGAGTGCATCCGACCCATCTCCCTCATTCACTGCCTTCCAGCCTGTGATGGTTTAGATCTGGAATGTCCTCCCAAAGCCTCACATGTATGGAAGAATCAGATCATGAGGGTGAGCTGACTTGCTGTTAGGAGGTAGGGTCTAATGGAGGTGGGTCACTGGCGACATGACCCAGAAAGGTCTCTCTCACTTCTCTCTCTGCTTCCTGATTACCTTGATGTGAACAGCTTTCCTCGACAGGTCCCTCTGTCCTGCTATTTCTGCCTTTGAGCCAACTGATCATGGACTAGAACCATAATCCAAAACAAACGTCTCCTCTCTTAAGTTGTGAATGTCAGCTGAAATAACAGCCTCCTAGGGAATTGGTTCCGCAGGATTTGGTTCACAGTGCTCAGGCATCCAGGTACTTGGAAACCTCTACAGCCATGCTCCAAGGGGGACTGGCTGCTGCTGAAGCTGGCAGCAGACCTTGGCATCATCCAGGTGATGCTGGTTTTATAGGCATGCATAATGCAAGAGTTATGGGGTCATGGAGGCTTCTACCCAGATTTCAAAAAAAGCCTGAGAAGCCATGTAGTGTTCCTCTGAGAGGGCAGTGTATGAAGCTGTGAGAATGAAGCAGAAAGTGCAGAGAAGACTCCAGAAAGCTGGAGATGCCGAGAACATGGAATGTCTGCTGGTAGGAAGCAAAGGCACCCTAAGAGAGAGGCCATGAGGGCTGTGACCAGGACTGTTACAAGGCATGGGGCTGTCCAAGGCTTTCAGAGTTCACATCTGGCCACAACTTGCCCTGACTGCTGAACATGAACGAACAGGATTTAAAGTTTGTCCTGCTGGGTTTCTGTCATGCTTTGGTTCTGTTCTTTTCTATCCTCTGTTCCCCTTTGGGATAGAAATGTTCGCCATGTGCCGCTGTATATCGGCACTGTTTAACTTTCTGATTTTTATAGGGGCTCACAGTGAAGAGTGTGAGTCTCAGAGGAGACTTTGGACTTGCATTTTTCAGCAGCGCTAGAACAGTTTAGACTTCGGTGACTCTTACAAATGGAGTAGATGCATTTTACATAGAGATGGACGTGAGTCATGTGAGGGTTCAGGGGAGGAATGTTATTGTTTAGATCTGGAACGTTCCCCTGAAAACCTCGTGTGTGGAAGGTGACTGGATCATGGCGCCAATACACCTGGCTCGTTGTTACGAGGTGGGGTTTGACCTGGAAGGGTGTACATCTCTCTCTCTCTGCTCCTCTTCTCACTGCTTCTTGGCCGCCATTCCATGAGCAGCTGTCCTCCTGCAGGCCCCTCTGCCCTGCCACTTCTGCCTTGGAGCCCACAGACTATGGACTGTCACTGTGAGCCAAGATAAGCCTCTCCTCCTTTGAGTTGTGGACGCTGGGTACTGTGTCCCAGTGATGAGAAAGTGACTAGAACACAGCTGTAGCCGAGGCATCCCTGCTCTACAGACACGCCAGGCCCCTTCTGTACTTGTGGGCCCTTTCTGTACCCGAGCTTTCCATTTAGTTGCCAGCTCACACAGCACTGTCCCAGCACTCTCCTCTAACCCTCTTTAACACCATCTGAAATAACCTAGCCCAACTGCCTGTTCATGAGTTAGTCCTCCCTCACCTCCTACTGCACACGAGAGCCACAAATACACCGAGCTCACACTGACACTACCCTGTCCCTGGTGCACTATGGAAGATTTGTACAAATGAACACAGTATGGCAGAATCCCAAACCTGCTTCAAACAGACAGAAGATGTATAAAATTTGGTCCACCAAATAGGGGAGGTGTCACCTGTTGACAAGCACAAAGTTGAAGGTCTCTCCTGTCACCCCAGAGACGCGGTCCCGCACACGCTCTAGCACTGGGATCCAGGGCTTTGGAGACAGTGTAAGGCCTGAAAATGTGTAGGTCAGCCCAGCATCGCCATAGGTCGCCTGCTTCCTCGGCACGTTGTGCCACTTCCCAAACACCAGGACCCTGGCCAGCGCACCTGTGCAGATGAAACAGCAGTTCTGTTCCTGTGGACCATCCAAAGATGCAGGGAGAACAAGTGCCCAACACACCCCTCGAGTATTCCGGGGGCAAAGGGAAAGAGGAATAACATTTCCCTGTTCTTCATTTTGTTGTGTTATGCCCTGCTGGAGATGACCTCAAAAATTCATTGTGGCAGACAGCCATGGTTGAGCATGCTTATAATCCTATCACTCTGGGAAACTGAGACAGGAGGATCACAAATTTGAGCCCAGTTTGGGCAACTCAGTGACTTAAGGAGACACTGTCTCAAAAAATAAAAAAAGGGCTAAGAATGTAGCTCAGTGTAGAGACCCTGGGTTAATCCCCAGTGCTGGGAAAAAAATCGTAAGTTTTCATGTAGGAACCATTACATGGTTCTTAGCTGGACCTGGTGGCACATCCATGCCTGTAATGCCAACACTTGGGAGGGTGAGGCAGAAAGATCATGAGTTCAAGGCCAGCCTGGGGCAACCTAGTGAGCTATCTCAAAAAATTAAAAGGACTAGGGATGTAGCTCGGTGAAGAGCTCCTGGGTTCAAACCCCAGTTCAAAAAAAACCAAACCAAACCAAACAAAACATTAATTCTTGTCTTACACTTAGAGAAACATGGCCAGAAGTCACTTTTTCTTCAACACTTGCTTTACTGCCTTACAAAGAAGCAGAATAAAGAGACTGAGCTTTGAGCACAATGAAGGTAAGTTTGCACCAGTGGATGGTTTTGTCAGCCATGGGGCCTGGGGGCCTGTGGCTGCGGGACAGATGGGACTCATTCAGCTCAGGCCGGGCAGGCCACTGTTGTGCTCATCACAGGGTAAAGCAATGGTTCTCAACCTCTGGTTCCCAGTCCAGCAGCATCAGTACCACCAGCCAACTCCTTAGAAATGATACTGCATGGGACTCCTTCACAGTTCTGCCTGCAACAAGTTCTCCACTCAGCACCAAGGCAGAGGAATTACCTGGTTATTCACCATCTCTCCCACTGGACCAGTGATTCCCGACCCAAGCTGCACATTAGAGTCAGCTCGAAGCCTCACCACCACCTTGGTGCAGGAATTGAACCCAGGGCCTTGTAATGCTAGGCAAGTGGTCTACACTGAGCTACATCCCCAGCCCCTGGAAGTTTTTTAAAACTCTGATGCCCAGGCTGCACCCTCAGCTATTCTGATTCAATTGGTGTCCCACAGAAGCAGAAAGTTAGTATTTTTTTAACTTTCCCAGTTGAGTCTTATCAGCAAGTAGCCAGGGAGAGAGTCAATGTAATCACCTGTTAGCTCCCAGTGGTCAGTCAATCCTGCTTTTTTCAACTCTGTATCCCAAGCTCAGAGGTACCCAGAGACTACTTGTTGAATCCATCAACAAGGCTGAGTTCAGATTTCTCCAAACATAAGATCACTAGTTTTATTAAACAAGCTTTCAACACACACACCGAGTCCTCTGCTTACCTGTAAAATATTCTACTTTCTTCTCCAACTCTTGGAAAATCTCGTCTGCCTCAGCTTTGCCAAACAGGACTGTGTAATCGCAGTCCAAGCCCTCAGCCCAGATGTGCCGCCAGCTGGCGCCTGCCTCAGGGCTGGCCCTCTCCTGGATCTCTCTCCTGGGTCTCTTCCTTGGGCCGCCTGGGTCTTTGCTCAAGGTAGCTGGCTCTTCTTCGGTTTGCTTCTGCTGCTCCCCTTTTCCCACAAGGTCTCCTTGAGCTCGCTTCACCAGGAATCGTTCCATCCTTCCTCTCCTCAGTGAGTGGAGGTCGGTGGGGAAGCAGAGGAAAAAGCGGGCCCAGGTTTTGTCCTGGATGAAAAGTCTATTCATCGAAATTTAAAACCATGCCCTGGAAAGGAAGTATAGAGGGCATTAACGCTTGGACGGGCCATCAGGAGCAGGTCCAGGGTCTCCCACAGCTACCTGGCTGTGCATTAGGATCAGCCGGCTGGGGCTGGGAGACAAGTTTACTTAGCACGCTTGAAGCCCCAGCACCAAAACACAAGAGGAGCCCGCTGGGTAGCACGCAAAAACCTACACGCCCACACTCCACACCCAAGCGGGCTGTTTTAAAGAAATCCTTCCTAGGAATTGACAGGCCACAGCCAACTTTGAAAACTAAAATCCAGACCTTCATTTTACAGATGGGGGTCACTGATACCCGGGGGCGGGGGTACAGGGCTTGCCCAAAGAAACCCAGACAAGCAAGGTCTCTACTTCCGGCAACGCTAAGGAGGCGGAATTGCTAAGCGGCCGCCCCACGTCAGTATTAAAATAGGTGACCACAGCGAGTCAAAGGGCTGTGACTCAGAATCTAAGCGCCAAGCCCCACAACCTCACGGTGATAGAAATAAGAGCCGTAACGCGGGCGGGGTTGGGGTCGGTGAGGTTTCCCTCTGGACTCTCAGACAAGCCCCGCCCCGGCTGGTGGGAAAAACACTCACCCGCCCGCAGGTCGCGCAGCGCGGGAGCATTTCCGGGTCGAGAGCGGAAGCGCCTGCGGACCGGCAAAAGCAGCCGCCCTGGGCCTGCTCGCGCCACCTGTCGGCCGCCCAATACATCGCGGGCATTGCGCTGTTCTGCTTTCGCCTGTTCCAGTAGCTTGTTCTGCAGCTCATCCCCTTACTTCCTCCATGGGTTTTTCTTCTTCGTTTTTTTCTTCCGGTACTGAAGAGACTGAATCCAGGGCCTTCTCCCTGAGCTACACCCTCAGACTCCTCCCCTCCCTTTTTTATTTTGAAACCTGGCCTCACTGTTGTCCCTGAGGCTGGGCTCAAACTCACAATCTTCCTGCCTCAGCCTCCTAGAAGGCAGAGATTATAGGTGTGCACTACCACGCCCGACTTTACATGTTTAATTTTATACAAATGCTGTTCAATCCTGAGCTCTCTCCCCCTTCTTACATTTAAACTCCTTGTGGGGCTCTGGCAGCAAGGCTCAAGAGCCTGTCCATCCAGGCTACATGTTGGAAACGACGGAAAAAGAAATAGGGATAAATGAGATAATTCTGTGTAGTATTGAAATGGCACTCGGAGGGCAGGCAGACCAAGGAAGAGAGCAGCACTCCGAAAACTGAAGGCAAAGGCAGGTTTATGTTCTAGTTAGTGGGCCCAGAGGAAATCACCTTCCTGAACTTGAGCCCCATTCCTCCATCTGTTCTTATGGGGAGCAAGCAGAATTTTACAGAAGCAGAATTTAGTCAGTCAAGGGTAGGGAGGTGGAGGTAAATGTTGTTTTTACAGTTTATCTTTAAGTTGTAGGGAGGTAAGCAGCTGTGTTTTAGCAGTTTATCTTGCCAGCGCAGAGACCTTCGTGGGTTTAGCAGGAGGAGCAAACCATAGACTGTCAGCCTTGAGACCATCAGTCTTGGCCAAGCTTTGAGGCTGTCAGTCTCTGCTCTGGCTTTTGTTTTTCCATTTCAGTGTAGAAGTTGTAGTACAGTGTAGGCTGGAAGGTGGGGCGGGAGGAGAAGGCCGGACAGGGAAGGGTCCTGAGCTAGAGATGGAGCTTTCGGAGCGGAAGGAAAGCTGTACAGTTTATGAAGGGCCAAGCTGGTGTGTCCAGCCCAAGATCTTGGAAACAGACTGGGTAGTAGGGTTGCAATCAGAAAGGGAAACCACCGGGAGAGCTGGGTATGAAGGTGGGGCATTATTCTAAGCACCTTTGGAAGGGGAGAGTTTTAATCCAGAGGGTGTGGTGATGAAATTTACATTTTTCCTGACTTTTATTTTTTAATATCACAAACTTCAAAAACTGAAGCTCTGTAAAATGGAACACAGCTAAATCCCAGCCCTGCAAAATAGAACCCTGAAAGTTCTGTTGTTGTTGTTTTTTGTTTTTTCTTTAGAGATAAGCAACTTCTCCAAACTTCCCCCTGTTGAGCACAAAACCAACACCCTCTCCTGTCCTCAGCCCTGTGCTGATACAAGGAAGCCTTTTCCACAAGAAACAGGACGGGAGCTGAAGATGGCGGAAGTAATTAAACAAGTGTGACCTGCATCAGCTCTCCGGCTCCTCCTCTGCTCTGTTCCTTACAATAAAAGGCCCTTGTCCACTTGAACAGGGGCAGATGGTGACTTTAGGCAAACAGGCCCCTCCATCTCCTTGAGAGCTTTCACTGGATAAATCCTTTTACCAAAATGTATGGCCTCCTTTGATTTGATCAGTGGCGAGCAAAGTGGCCGGCAACAAGACCAACTGGGCTTGCAGCTAGAAGATGAAAACACTGCCAATGAAGTTGGGATTTGTTTTGGAGAAATAATCAAAAGAAGATATTGCTGATTGGAACATCAGTAATATTTGGGGAGGAGGGGGAGAAGAGGAGAAAAGAAAGGAATCCTGGATGTGAGTACTACAGCAGGAAGGTTACAGTAGTGCCATCCAGGAATGAACAGTTTGGAGTTAATCTCCATGATCTTAATGTCTCCCCCAAGATTTATAGATTTGGCAAAATACTTGCTGTAAATCTGTTTGCCCTCGGTAGGACAGGTTGTGAAAAGTTGCTGAGATGTGTATAAAAGCTCAATTAGGGGGCTGGGGATCTAGCTCAGTTAGTGGAGCTGATGCCTGCCTGGCAAGCACAAGGTCCAGAGTTCGATCCCCCATATTCCCCCCCAAAAAGCTCAGTTAACAATAGAAGTCTCCTACTTTCCACCGCACCTCGAATAGTTCAGGCACTTTTTTCCCCCCTCGGAAAGGCGGAGGAACATGTCTTAAAGTAGAGGTGGTAGTACAAACTCAATGAATGCAGGAGCAGGATCCACACCCAACCTTGCCCCTGGGGCCATGCGCGACCCCTCCTCCTGCACATGCGCACTGGGCCCTCCGCCGCCCTCCACTAAGCCCCCCACTCGGAGCATGCGCGGGACGCTTGGCGCCAATTTCAGACCGCCGCGGCTTGTGCCAGGCTCACTGGTCCCTCCTCGGCTCCGGGATGATCGGCCAGAAGACCCTTTACTCCTTCTTCTCCCCGAGCCCCGCTAGGAAACGACGTGCCAGCAGTCCCGAGCCGGCCGACCCAGGGGCCGGCGTGGCAGCCTTGGCTGAGGAGAACGGCGATGTGGCGGTGAGGCGCGGCAGGGACCGCTTTGGGGAGCGGGGATAAGAGAGAGGAAGGCAAGGGTCCTGCCTGGTTCAGGGGGTGCGAGAGCGAGCCAATGACTCGGTAAATTGGGACTCCATGTTCAAAACAATTTCCACGTGTTCAAAATAGCCGCCGCCATCCCTCATCGGCCGCCATGCTGAAGCGCTAGCCAATGGGGACGAGTCCCTGGGATCGCGGGGCCAATTGACGTGCAGCTGGCCCGCCCTGCTCAGGCTTCTGTCCAATTAGAAGAGGGCGGGGGCGGATTCCTGGAGAGGATTTTTGCCGCGAAAAGGCCGCGTGGGGAAGCCTGTGGCGGGTCCCGTGGGGGCGGGGCTCTTGGGTGCGGTGTCCCCGGTCACCAGAGTTTTGCAGGGGATGCCACGGGGCTGCCTCTCAGCTCCTCTTGAACTTCAGATCTTCAGACTGGGCCCGACTGGCTCGCCTCCGCTCCGCCGATGGGCATCTTTTGTCTTAGGCCGCAGGGTTTGGCTGGGAAGTTGCGGGCTCCAGGAGAAGAGTCGCTGCGGTTCTTAACCCGCCTCTGCGGGGACCCCTTGCAGGCCAGCCCAGCCAAGAAGGCCCGGGCGGGACAGGACGAGCCTGGCACGCCGCCCTCCTCGCCGCTGAGCCCGGAGCAGCTGGACCGCATCCAGAAAAACAAGGCCGCAGCGCTGCTCAGACTCGCAGCCCGAAACGTACCGGTGGGCTTTGGGGACAGCTGGAAGAAGCACCTCAGCGGAGAGTTCGGGAAACCGTATTTTATAAAGGTAGATACGGAGGTGTATCTTATGGGGCAAACGCGGAGGCACCTGGCCTTTCCTTAGTGTAGAAGACCAAATCTACGTTTGTGGAATATTTTGCTTTCATTAGAGTCGTGTTTTCCCTCAAATGCCCATTTCTAGCTAGTAAAGCGGGCCATAGTGTTTTAAATCCGCATGTTTAAATTGGTTAAAGTTGTTTAAGACTGTAAGGTGGTATTATATGGCATGGCTTCTTTGAAGCCACTTAGTTTGCTCTCCAGGAATGGTTGGCCTTGTAAAGCTACCGACCAGACTAAATGAAACCTTGCTGCCCTTTATAAGGGGAGGATGGTTGACATTATTGGGAAAGGAAAGCGAATCAGCTTTGTCCCAGCCAAGAGAAAGCGGGAAGGAATTGAAGTGTTCGAGCAAGTTAAATGGGGAGCAAGTACTGTTTGTATTTGTTTTTGGAATTTGGGTTTAAAACATGGCAAGGAGCTAGATGGGGTTTCAAACAGGTTGAGTGGGGTTTCTTACTCAATTATGGTTTCCAATGAAAATCTGATTTTTAAATCTAGTTTATCTTTTAAATTAGCTAATGGGATTTGTTGCGGAAGAAAGAAAACATTATACTGTTTATCCGCCCCCACACCAAGTCTTCACATGGACCCAAATGTGTGACATACGAGATGTAAGTACAATTGTTGAATTTTATTATGGGAGGAAATCAAACGGTTTCCATAGGGACACTGGAGTTAAACCACAGTCCATAATTCAATAGTAAATAATACTGAAGTTTTGAGATTTCAGCCTGTGTTTACTCTTTTTTTAAAAAAAATTTACTTTTTAATCTTTGTTGTGTGCTATTTGTGCAGCAGAAAAGAAAAATATGTATATGCTCTTGTTTTGACTGTGTATGCTCTTGTTTTTTAGAAAACTTCATTCCTTTTTTTTTTCCTTTTGTGGTGCTGAGGTGTAACTCAGGCCTCTGTGTGTACAGGGCAAGCATTCTACCGCTAAGCAACACCATCCCTTTACTATTTTATATATCACTGCAAGTTTATTTCAGTGATTATTGATCAGTTTTTAAAATCTTATTATTCATGGATAATGGAACTGGGAGAGAAGATCTATATGTTCAGAGATGCCTAGAAAATGTCATGGACAAAAGAGACAAGAACAAAATAGTTACATCTTAGAAGTACAAAGGGTGGGCTGAGGGTGTGACTCAGTGGTAGAGCGCTTGCCTAGCATGTCTGAGGAGGCCCTGTGTTCCATCCCAACACTGCCGAGAGAAGGCTGAGCTACATCCCCAGTTCTTTTTATTATTTATTTAATTCTTTTAATTTTGAGTTAGAGTCTCTAGCTATGTTGCTCAGGCTTGCATCAAACTTGTGATCCTCCTGCATCTGCCTCCAGGATAGCTGGCATTGCGGATGTGTGCCACCATGCTTGACAATACTTTTAAAATTTTATTTATGGCAGTACTGGATTGAATTTAGGGCCTTCACACTGAGCAATATCCTCAGCCCTTACTTAATTTTTATTTTGAGTCAGGATCTTGCTAAGTCACTTAAGTTCCTCCTGCTGGGCTCAAACTTGGAATTCTCCTACCTCGGCCTCTCAGAATGCTGGGCTTTTAGGTACATGCTTCCACGCCCATCTGTATTTTCATTTTTAACTGACAATAGTTGTAGATGTTTATGGGTTACAGTGGGATTTCGATATGTGTATGCAGTGTGTAATGATAAGATCAAGGTAATTGGCTTCAGACATTTTCTGTTGAGTGCCCTCAAAATTCTACTAGCTATTTTGCAAAAATAATTAATTGATAGATATATGGGTCTATGACAGTGATAACAAACCTTTTAGAGACCAACTGCCAAACTGCATCTCAAAACACAATTATTTATTGCAAAGTACCAATTGTGCAATTAAATCTGAATACTGAGGATTTAGTTTAAAAGAAAACAAATCTACATTAACATCTTTTGTCTTAAAAACGAAATGCATGTGCCATAGATTCACCAGCACTGGTCTTTGCTATGTCTTCTCTCTTCTGCACCCTTCCCAGGCTCTGTGAACTACTACTTTGAAATCAACTTTTTATGTATGCTATCATTTGTATTTTATTTAGTATTGAAAATCTATGCCAGTATTAGATACCATTGCAGTGGTTATGAAGAAACCAGGTCATGAATCAGTTAAGTCTTTGTGTGTTATTTTTAGTTGATCCCCACCGTAACTTGCCCACTCTGGCTGGTGTAGTAGACACTTTCAAGCTCTTGACCTCTGGGCTGCCTTTGTTATTTCATCCTGTGTTTAGTTGCCACTTGGCAGGTCTGATCACTTCAGTTTCCTGTTCAGAAGCTTGCAAGGAACTAAGGGCTTTGAAAACACCATGTTAGACTCTCCTTAAATAGGGACGCATCCTACTGCCCAGTCTTTTCTGTCTCCTGCTCTGGAGTCTGACAGTGCAGTGCCATGCAGTATTTCTGTCTTTAGAAAAACAACTGGGTCCATTATCTGGCACTTCCTTGAAATCTGTTGCTGACTCCATTGTGATTGGGTTTTCCTCTGAGATTTTACGATACCTTTAGCTTGTGCCAACACTAGGAGGGGTTTAGGTTTTATTCTTTCTCCTCTCTCACTTTGTATGCTGGGACAGGAAGTTAGGATTTAGTGAATATCTTGTTCAGTCAAAGAGGTAAAATAGGTGAACAAACCATCTTGGTAAGACAGCCATGTCTAATACTTAGAAAATTCCACAATCTTTATTATAGTATAAGAACTTTGTGCCTCTGAGGCTGATGAGCCCTCAGCCTGCTTTGCAGATGAGCATTCGGGGTCAGGTTCGGTGGTTCTTCTAAGATCATCCCTTAGCCAGGTCTGGAGCCTTGGAGCTGGCAAGCTTTCCTGCCAGGCTGGGCTGCTTCACTTCGGAAGATATGCTGGTGACCCAGTGAACAGCAAAGTCAGATCCAAGAACTTACTGGTTATAGCAGCCTTGGTCTGCAGATGGACTGGAAGGTTGCAGAGGGTGTCTGCTGAGGAGGAAGGTTCAGAGAGAGCAGCAGGGACAGAAGCAGGAGGGTGAGGTCCAGGCACACAACTTATCTTGAGGGCTGTGTTTCAACACCTGGGAGATGGGAACCTCGTTGTTGCTTCTCGCCACTCACTCCTCTAGACCTTGGACTGATCTCTTTGTTCTGGTTTCACCTGTTCCATCTCTAGGGAATCTGAATTGTATGAAGGTTTAAAATCTGCTTTTCCCTTGACAGGCCACTCCCCCTGTCATGAATCTTCTACAGACATGAAGCATCAGTACATAAGGACATCTGTACTTGGGCTTACTGCAGGGTTTTCCCTTAGTGGACAGTGCTGGAAATACGTGGTGGACTGCCCATGAGTAGGGACTGGTGCTCTCTTGACATGAAGCCTCCACTGTTCAGCAGAAGACGTGCAAAATATGCAGAAAACACACAGATGCTTGCCTAGCATTCTGGAAGCTCTGGGTTCAATCCCCAGTCCTGCACACACACACACAAAATAGAATATGGCTGACTCGGACATGGCTACTCACTGAGTTTCTGGGTGTTGAACTTATTACAAGGTGTATTTTTTTCTTTGTAATTTGAAGTGAAGAAGGTAAATGTGAAGTTGATCCCAAGTTGTCTCACTTGTCGGAGAAAAGGTGGGCAGCACATCTGGGTGGTGGAGTAAAGGATGATGGGGATGGGAAGTGGCAGTACCAAGCAGGGCTCTCCTCCTCACAGTGTGTCCCTCTGTGTAATCAGCCAAAATCAGGCGTGTGTTGGGACTGAGCACTGCAATATTATCTAATTCTTTGGAACCTGGTGTTCGCAGGTGAAAGTTGTCATCTTGGGACAGGATCCTTATCACGGACCCAATCAAGCTCACGGGCTCTGCTTCAGCGTGCAAAGACCTGTTCCACCCCCTCCCAGGTACAGTTGCCGTACACATGACCGGGACCCAGCCTCAGTTGCTTTCAGATGTGTACTTTGCAAATGACAGATGCTACTGTTTTGAGGACCTTAAGTAACTTGTAGAGGAGGAGGATTTCTCAACCGTGGCACTGTTGGGTTGAAGCATTCTTCCCTGTGGGAAATCTCAGTGTCCTATGCACTATAGGGAGTTCTGTTGGAGGCCACACCTTCCCCTGTTAAGATCCACTGCTTTAGAGACTTTGATATGTAATACAAAGTAGCTGGTCCAGGTGGCACTGGCCTGTAATTTTGAGTCCAGTCCAGGTAATTTAGAAACCTTGTCTCAAATTAAAGTGGTTGGACCTCCTGCTTCCCAAGCGCAAGGACCCAAGTTCCATTCCTGGTACCAAAAAAAAAAAAAAAAATTGTGGGAGGGGGTGCTGAGAATGTAGCTCAGGGCAAAGGCCCTGGTTTAATCCCTAGTACCACGTATATAGTAATATATACAAGTATAATAAGGGTATAGGCTATAGGCATCAGTGAGGAGGTGGTCATATCTGCTGGACCACTTTCTTTAGGTCTTCAAGTGCTTCTTTGTTCTGTAAATCCCAGTACAGATGAAAGGAAAGATCTGGCATATTTACCCATCAGAGGGACTGTAGGTGTTTATTTCATGAATCAGGATCATAGGTTACAGTATTCCTTCCAAGGACTGACTTTAAACCTTTACCCTTTTCACATATATCTTTGGAGATTACTGAACTTTCAAAATTATGCTTAAGATTCTGTTTTTTCCTTTCTGGCTCGCTTGCAGTTTGGAAAACATCTATAAAGAGCTGTCAACAGACATAGATGGCTTCATTCATCCTGGCCATGGAGATTTATCTGGGTGGGCTAAACAAGGTAAGCCCACCCTGCTAGGTATGTCTTGGATTGAGGCCAGCAGCTTTTTGGTTTCTCATATATATGGGAGCGGGAAGAGTTCTTTTTGAGAAAGGATCTCACTCTGTAGTTTAGGCTGGTGTTGAACTGACTGTAAAGTCCTTGAAATTGCAGCAATCCTGCTGCCTCAGCCTCTTGAGTGCTAGAAGCAGCACTCGTAGGGGTGTGCCACCACTCTGGGTTTGTTTGTTAAGTATTTAGTTTTGTTTGGTACTGGGGATTGAACTTGTGAGGCAGGTAGCAGAACCACTGAGCAAACTCCCCAGCTGTTTGTTAAATATTTAAAAGGCTAAATATGTTTTATCCTGCAGCCAGTTTTTTAATGTTTTAATTGTGAGAGGAACAGTCATTCCTATTATAAATATTGTTATTCTCGGGTTAATACCACATAGATGTTTTTAAAAGCAATTATGATGGCAAATAACCCGTTTTTATTGCCTTCAACTAGAAGATGCCAAAAAGGCAGAGATGCAAATAAAATGCCCTCTCATCTCACCCAGAGGTCGGCACTAGTCTTGGTGAACCACTTTATGGCCTGACTTCATTCAGCTGCACTGGGTCCTACGGAATAGAGCAAATGGCTTCATGATGTATCTGTGTCTAACCCCTGTTTTCAGGAACTTGTGCTGCTGCCTCTGAGCCTTCTTTTCATCTGTTTGTGTGGCCTGTGTTCATAGGTGTCCTCCTGCTCAACGCCGTCCTCACTGTTCGGGCCCATCAAGCCAATTCACATAAGGAGAGAGGCTGGGAGCAGTTCACTGACGCTGTGGTGTCCTGGCTCAACCATAACTTGAACGGCCTTGTCTTCTTGCTCTGGGGCTCTTATGCTCAGAAGAAGGGCAGTGCCATTGACAGGGTATGACTTGTTAAAACCCTTTGAGCAGGTTAGAGAATTCTAGCCACTGCCACTGGTGTGTAGTCCTGGGAAATGCACGTTAGAAAATGAGTCTCTTAGAAATAGAGTTGGAATTTGAAAACTAAGCAGAATTCAGATAAATCGTGGGAACAGTTCATTGTGTGTGAGGAAACCAGCTGGCCAGTTTGCAGTTGAGTGCATTTAGTAATACAGGTGTCAACTCCCAGTGGATACAGAGGACAGAGGCTCCTGGATTCCCTCATTTAACGCACGACTCCCTGGTGTGTGATGAGGCACTGTCCTGCCTCTGAGAAATTTGGAAGCATATAGGAAACATGGGGAATTCCACTTAATCAGAAACTCAACTTCCCCATGAAATTACTATCAGCAATAATTACTAAACCCCAGTTCTGATTGTGAATACTCAACCTGGCAAGCTAGATCTTTAATTTCTACCCTGCCTGTGTGCTCTCCCAAGTTGCAACTTTTCTGCTTTTCCCCATTCAGTAACTTACGTGTGCTGAGATCTGGAGCCTGGAGTCATCCTTGAACCCCTTTGTTTCCCTGTTCCCCTCAAGTCCTGACCATCAGTGAGTTCCATAGCACCTCCCTGGGGACATCATTGTCCTGTGGCTCCTCACAGGCACCCTGCTCCTGCTCGGGGCGGACACCTGCATTTCTCTGAGGGACCATCATTAAACCATGTGCAGGTGGATGGATGGAGGAGTAGCGGAGAAGGGAGTTGAGGGATGGCAGGAAAAGGAAGAGTTAAGAAGGGACAGTTTAATTTGAACAGATGCGGAATTGGGAAGTGTGAGTGGGGAGAAATCATTCCATAAATGCTTTCATGACTGAGATCAAGGGCTTATTTCTGGTGCATCAGAAATATGCAGTGACTTTGAACTTGACTTTTTGTCAGCAGGCATCATGGTGTGTGCTGAATCTTAATAATTGGCAGAGGACTTAGAGGGTGAAGGGAATGCCTTATCCCCATTTTGTGTTGGGGTCCAGAGACACAAATCCCATACCCAAACTTGGCAGTGAATGGTGGGGCCAGAATTCGAGCCTGCCCCATAGTTTGGGATTCTGTGTTCCCAAGCACCTGGGGAGCAGCCACCCCACCCCACACCTCTGGGCAGTGTTTCTAAGTGTAGTAAACCAGTGATTTAAAATAGTGTAATCTCAGGTACTTAGGAAGCTGAGCCAGAGGGTCACAAAGGCAGTCTGGGCAACTTGGGAAGACCCAGTCTGAAAATGTAAAGAAGGGCTGAGGAGGTAACTCAGTGGTAAATCACTTGCCTAGCTTGTGTGAGTCTGAGTTTAATCCCCTGTACTGTTTTTTGTTTTTTGTAAGTATACTGAGATTTGAAAAGTCTCTCTCCCATTCTAGCTTCCTTCTGCTCAGTCTCCACCTGGCTCGGGTGAGCACTGGCTTTTAAAAATTTCTGATATATCCTTCTAGAGTTTTCATGCATATACAAGCAAATAGATTAAAAGCAGCTTAGAATGCATAAGATATTTTCAGAGGTTTTCCTTAAGGAAAGAACTGCAGAGAGAAACATCTTGAATGAATTTGACCATGAATGAACTGCTAACGTGGTTATCCAAGTAGGAAAGAAGTGTGTGTCATTTCTAACCTCTGCACCTTAGGGAGGTTTATGGCCAGTTTAATTCTTAGTAATCATTTTAGAACATGATTTAGTCTAAAAGTGAACCATTGCTGAAGAAGGTCCATCATTAGACCACATTAAATATCTCTAGCAAGTCTCTTAAAGCAGCAGATCTAGTCTATATTACTTCCTTACTAGTGTCCCATAAGCCCATCAAATTCAACATTTTCCACACTAAATTCTCCTTACTAAACTTGCCCCTCTGTAGTCCTCTGCAATAAAAAATACCATCTGTTTGGTTGTCTAGCCAGGACTCTGACAGCATGCCATGCTTGGCACCTACGTACCTCTCTGTTCCTCCTTCCTCTCCTCCCCCATCCTCTCCCTAAGTGCAGTCTTTCATATCTGCAAGCTTTCTTCCCTCTGCTATCTTGGATCCATCCCAGTTGGCCACCCTGGCCAAGATTAGCCTTCATCCGACTGTGCCCGGAGGCTTCCACTTCCTTCTGGGAAGGCCTGGGCTTAGGCTGCTGAGTGGAGCTGGAATAGCCTGCAGCAGGCCTTACAGCCCTGGCTTTCTTCTCAGCTCCAGGCTGACTGAGCCACCTGCACCCTTCCCCTCTGTGCCCATTTCCCTGCCATTTTTGGACACCCAGCCTGTGTCCTGGATGCTGACTCTGGGGTTCTTTTTAGACTGACTTTTACTTGAGAGCTCAGTGTCACTGACTGACAAGGCCTGTGCTGCTTGCCAGTGTGTGTCCTTCTTATAATGCTTTACCTGTGGTCACTTATCTGATGCCTTGTAGTAACTTAAAGAGCAAGGTGCTATTGTACTGGGGATTGAACCCAGGGCCTTCACGCTGTGCTACATCCTATCTTTTTTTTTATTTTGAGATGGTCTCTCTAAGTTGCCCAGGGTGGGCTCAAACTTGTGACCCCCTTGCCTCAGCCTCTCAGAGGGCTGGGATTATGGCCATGCATCACCATGACCAGCTTGTTATTGCTCATTTACAGGTGAAAACTGAAAGGCAACTTTGTCATGATTACTTAACTGTCAAGTGGCAGAGCTGGGATTTGAACCTAGGTTCTTTGCTCTTGACCTTGCTCGGATGCCTCTCTTTAATTATCACTCTTGGTAGACTGAGCTCCTTTGAGGCAGGGTTGTTCTAAAAAGCTATTCTGGTTTTTTAGGTAATTTTTATTTAAATACAGAAAGTAATTCAAAGAAAAATGGTCCATAATCTCTGTTCAGATCATTACAGTTGGCTTTTAAAAATATCAAAATACTCCATTTTTTTATGGTGAGACAATTCAAACACTATAGAAAAATACAAAATGGAAATGTCTTCCACTATTGCTTTCACCTAAAGGAATTATATATATGCAAGTTGATTTTTATGTTTGGCATTGCTGGGGATTGAACCTAGGGCACTTGCCTCATTGTATGCCAGGCAAGTGCTCCACCACTGACCTACAACCTAGATCTCAGATTTTTGCCCTTTTTTGTTACCGGGCATTGAACTCAGGACCTTGTGCTTGTGAGGCAGGCAGTAGAACCACTGAGCCAAATCCCCAGCCCAGTTTTTGTTTTAAGAATAGGAAAAATTTATCAGCAGAAAGAAAGCTTCTGTTTAAGACAGAGGGGAACCAGAGAGTGGGACCCCTCCACTTGATAAGTTTTGAGCTGCAGGTATAGTTCAGTAGTAGAGTATGTGCCCAGCATGCACAAGGCCTTGGGTTCAATTCCCAGCAAAAGTTTTCAACAGTAGACCTTATTCTTTGAGCAGCTGGGTAAAACTTTAGAAAAATATTTCAGTCCTATAACACTAGACTTATATAAGACTTTAGGTGGATTTTGTTTTTTCCTGTGATGTGGGAAGTGAAGCTAAGGGATGCTTAGTTAATCTCTAGCCCTTTGAAAAAATTTTTTTTAATTTTTTAAAATTTATTTTTTATTTTTTTGGTAGTATCAGGGATTGAACTAAGGACCTTCTGCTTGCGAGGCAGGCACAGTGCCACTGAGCTAAATGCCTGGCCTGCCCTTTTTAAATTTAATTTTGAGATAATAGTTTAGCTAAGTTGCCCAGGCTGTTGCTGAACTTAATGATCTTACAGCCTCAGCCTCCCAAGTAGCCAGCATTATAGGTATGTACCACGACATGAAGCTTAGCTGATAGTGTCTCACTTTGTATTCTAGGCTGGTCTTGAACTCACTATGTAGCCCAGGCTGGTCTCAAACTCACAGCAATCCTCCTGCCTCAGCCTCTTGAGTGCTGGGATTATAGGCGTGTGCCACCATGACCAGTTTTGGCTGAATTAGACATAGATGTAAACAATGTACAGTTCATCTTGCTCTACACTTACCTATGTGTGAGTACACGCATCAGCATCCTTTAGCAAATGTAATCAAAATGCAATCTGAGCAGTTTACTGTATAATACCACCCAGTACTTAGGAATTGTACAGATCCCGCCAGATTGAAGGCTGGGACTGGTCCTGTGCAACCCAGAGCCTAGCAAAAGTAATCACTCTACAAGTGAGCGTACAAATGAACAAAGGTCTAATACAAATGCTAAGGGTAAGTTTACTTTGAAAGGTAGAGCCATTTGGATGGGGCAGAGGGAGTTGCATCCCCATTCTATCACTGCTCTTGTTCCTCTTCCAGAAGCGGCACCATGTCCTGCAGACTGCTCATCCTTCCCCGTTGTCAGTGTATAGAGGATTCTTTGGCTGTCAACATTTTTCTAAAGCCAATGAGCTGCTGCAGAAGTCTGGCAAGAAGCCCATTGACTGGAGTGAGCTGTGACCCCACGGCGCAGTGGTCCGCCTCTTGGGGTGATTTTTGAGGCCCTGATGTTGAAGATTTATCAACTACGAAGTTACTGAAAATTTCTGTACTGTTAAGCACCCTGCTTAATAACGAGAAAAAGCTCCCATAGAGCAGCCAAGAGCCAGGCTATCATGGGATGGCAGCTTTATCCAGCCAGAAGTAGGTAGCAAAGATACCCTCTGACCACTTCTGCGTATTTGAGCTGTGCCCCAGCCAAGGCAGAGGTGGCTTGGTGAGAAACGTGCACATTTCTCGCAAGACAGCTGAGGTCAAATACTCCCTTGGTCTCTTCACCTCCTGAAGCCTGTGTTTAAAAGGGGAGATGAGCACCTTTTTGATACCTCCTCCTCTAGTTTGGTGCCTGCTGCTACTGTAGACTTCATAGGTTACAAGGTATTGTGTGTTTTTGCTTAGAACCTTCCCGCTCCCTCTTTCAGGGAGCCCCAGATGCTCCCTGGAGAAACCTTGAGGATGTCTTCCGAGCTTCTAGAAACCTGGCCCTGAAATCAGGACTGTTTCCTAGTTGTAGCAGAGGCCAGTATTCCTGAGAACTGTCCTTGGTGTGAGCCTTAACAGACCAGCAGGTCGGAAACTGCAAACCGCAGCCAGCTGGGTCTTTATTCTGTTCTTTGGGTGCTTCCTGGAGTAGTAGGGGGTAGAAGTTGAAAGGAGAGGGTTTTGTTTTTAATTGGAATGAGTATTGTTCTCCTAGTGCTTTTGGGCGTGGGTAGGATGGGGTGGGGTAAGGTGGCACAGGCTGCCCAGGGAAATTTGTTTTGTCCTAATGGACTGAAATCACTTGGAGTTTTTGGTTTTTGTTTTTATTTTTTATTTTTTTTGCAACACTGGTGAGTTTAGCTTTTTTTATAAAATACTACACAGATACATATATTTTTCTCAATCCTTTTTTTTTTTTAAGAGACTGGGTCTGCACCCCTGAGCTGAATGTGGTGGAGATTGTTTTTGTTGTAGCAGGGTTAAAATGCTGACCACGTGCACATTTAGTAATTAAAGATTTTTGAAGTTTCACTTGCTGCTGACTCTCCTTTGGCCTTGGATACCCAGGCTGCCCTTGTACCTTGGTTAGTGCCTGTGCCCCACCCCTGGATGCCAGGGCAACCATTGTGGTGGGGGGCTGCCCTGCCACCAGCCAAGCTCCACTGGGATGGTGCTGCTCACCCCTGGCCAGGCCTTGGTGAGGGAGGGCCCTGCCTGCTGCCTAGAGCACCCTGACCCTTGAGTTGGGAGTGGGAGGGCTCACCTGGCTGGATTGGCTAGAACAAAGAGCAATGCTTGGGGGATCTTGGCATGCTCACCCTGGCTTTTTCTCTTGCTATATAGTAACTCTATTTCTAGACTTCCCTAGAATCTAATTGTGACTTCCCTGGGCTTCTGATATAACTCCTTGGTGACCCATGGGCCTGTAAGCAGTTGTCTCTTGGAACTGGTGGGCTGTCGGGGTGTAGGTGGGCTCCCTTGGCATCTGGAGAAGGAAGAAAAAGGTATGGGTATAACTCAGCAGGAGAGCATGTGGCTTTGTGTGCATCATGCCCTTAGCTCCATCCCAGCACCAAAACCCAAACAGTATAATGAAGGCTTGTAGTGAGTGTACTTCAGTTAAGCGAGAAGGAATACCTCTGGTGACAGTATGGAGTCCAGCAAGTGCATTGGACAGGGTGGGGATAGAACACCTTAGTACTTTCCTCTCTGGGCCTCAGATTCTTTGTGGGAAGGATTAGGGAGTCTGTATTCTGATCAGCAAACAGGCTTCTACAGGAGAGATGTATCCTCATTTGCCTTCTGGTCCCTGGGGTCTTCCCTGAGGGGCTGCAATGGACTCCCTTACCCAAGGGAGAAGTGAGGAGGTGGTACTTCCATTCTGCATAGACATTGACACCTGAGTGCAGGGCTGTGAGGAGGAAGAAGCAGTTACCATAAATATCTCAATAAACAATAGCTTTTTGATGTTCTCAAAAAGTAGAGCTGAGTGTGCTGCCCCAGGCCTGTAATTCCAGCTACTTGGGACCTTTAGGGGCTGCATAGGGAGACGAACCCCCTGTGTCAAAAAGGACTAGGGATGTGGCTTAGTAGTAGTGTTTGTCTAGTGTGTTCAAGGCCCTAGGTTCAATCTCTAGTATCAACATTAAAATTTAAAGAAAATTATGTAATACATATACATACTCTTGACCTCATTATGCTTCCAGCCCTTGATGTACAAAAATGAATAATAAGAAAAAGTAAAAAACACGATCTTTTGGGCCAGAGGTTGGCACACTATATGAAGCATCAGATATTAAGTATTTTAGTTTTGAAGTCCTCTGGTCTCTAGGAATTGTCCTACATTTAAAGAGAAAGCAGTTAAGGGCAAAATGTAGTATCTGAGCTCTCCTATATAAAATTTTGTAGACACTGAAATTTGAATTTATGATTTTTTGCGTGTCACTAAATGTTTTTTTGTTTTGGCTTTTGTGGTGCTAGGGATTGAACCCAGCACCTTTGCAGTGAGCTACATCCTCAGCACTTTAGTTTTTTTTTTTTTTTTTTTTTTTTTTTTTTTTTT